GAATTTTCGCAAGATCCTCGAAATAATGATCCGGAAATGTATCGGGGTTTAATGACACGCAGGTGGCCCGCGAATTGACTGTGCCAAAACGGCAACTCAGGAATAAAATCGCGAGATAAAATCTTTAGTAGTGCATTATGTGTTTATTGTGAATAGCTCGATGTATCAATAGAAGTATATAATTCCGTGAATCGCGGTGAATATATTTAATACATCCGCAACCGCTTCATAATGTGTTGACGGCATATATGATATTTATCAGTTAAATGTTGACAGAAAAGGTGAAAGGAGCGCATGTGTACGCGTGCATGGATGTGTAAATGTGTGTACAATGCAGCAATTGGCTGAATATACCCAGTGTTTTTGTCCAGTGTTACCATTGATAAACAGAATATATAAATCCTATGCTATTCACGGAGAAAATTTTACAGTACAAATTACATGAAAAATACATTTACAGCATTTATTGTAAAGCTTGAATATAACGACATTAAGATATTTATTATTATAAAAATTGTAAATAATATTTAAATAAAATTTGTTCTATTGTTTGTTAACAATTATTCATTTTTTGTGCGTCAAAACAATTGAATAATCACAATCCTCTTTTGTAAAATATAAAACATATATAATATTAGTGAATAAAAATATCATCTTTTATATGTTAGTCTGTTCCATGATTACAAAAATTATATTGTACTTTTTACTATAATATTTTTCCCGTGTGTGCAGTTGTTGTTTTTGAAAATTATCAAACTTTTTTTTAAACTGTTATTAAAACTTTCATTTATATTTCGGACGCAAAAATGTATTAACTTAAAAATAATTCTTGCACATGCAAACAGAAGTAATGTTGACTCGAATTGCGCCGAAAATGTTTAGACATTCAAAACCACACCTAATGGCGTAAAAACAACAAAAATACCTAAACGAACGAAAAAAATATTATCCAGAGAAAAATTTATTAGTTGCCTAAAAACGTGATTTTTACATATAAAATGATAGAAATACTAGAGTAAGTCACAAAAAGTAAAAGGACTATATATATAAAGTCCCTTTATCTTTTAACTTATCCTAGTATATACATATATAAATATATAGACAATTGAGAACGAATTAGAATAGGCAATTAGGAGCCAGGGCAGTGTATAGGGCGCAATTGATTTTATTAAAGAGAGAAAAACATATATAATAAAATTCGCGAACGTTTCGGTCTTTTTTGAGACCATCCTCAGCGCAGATAAAAATAATAAGTATCAATTTACATAGTGTTAAATAAAATTAGACATTAAAATCGAAGCAACCAAATCGCAACCGAGAACCTTTCAAAAGAGTTTCTCGGTTGACTTGATATTCGGCGTTTTATCCTTGACAATAATAACAGCTTTATTTTATTTTTAACTATTTACCAACTTTATTTGCGATTTTAATGTCTAATTTTATTTAACACTATGTAAATTGATACTTATTATTTTTATCTGCGCTGAGGATGGTCTCAAAAAAGACCGAAACGTTCGCGAATTTTATTATATATGTTTTTCTCTCTTTAATAAAATCAATTGCGCCCTATACACTGCGCTGGCTCCTAATTGCCTATTCCAATTCGTTCTCAATTGTTAATATTTCTAAGCCTGTTCTATCGGTTTTAATTTTTGATGTAAATATATAGAAACATATTACGTGTATTTTGAAATGACATTGAGATATCTGTATCACGCTCTCATCAGTTGTCGCTAACCAACTGTCACGAATTGTGTATTATGATACCACACATATAGGCATTTTATAAAATTTAAAACGGGTATTAAGAACCTTAAATTGTCGATTTGGCCAAATTAACAATCCATTGATATTCCATTGTATACATTATCGAATAATTTATTGCATTATTTTTTATTAATCGTAGCGAATTTCTAATTAACTTGTTAAACGACAAATTGAAAGAAAAAGATCTCCTTGCACGTATGATAATCGTTTCTCGGATGATTTCCTTGAACTTTTTTTTCTGATTGATGCTAATATGAGCATGACCAATGTCTTTTAATATAAAAAGTCGCGAATTATATAACATTTCAAAAAGTAAATAACGTGTACAATATAAACAGATGAATAGAATCAATTTTTTGCTTATCAGAGGCAGATTATTATATACATATATTTTAAATTGACATTATTAATTTGTTATTAATATCTGCAATTAAAAATCTTAGAGATCTTGCAATAATGAAAATAAATTGGTATTCTTGTCGTATCTTATAACATCAAAAAAAACTGCACGCATTAATATTCTACCAATATTAATCTATGCACACAGGTGAGTTGATGAGTTTACACAAATGAATCCTGATTGAGAAAATGCGAAGACTGTTTATTATCTGTTCGTGTATGCTATCTATCTGTTTCTTTTTCTCTCTGTCTCCCTCCCTCCCTCCCTCCCTCTCTCTCTTTCTCTCTTTTTCTGGGAAGATTTGCTAAAAAATATCTTTATTCCCTCTCTGTTTTTCTCCTGATCGACACCTACGTCGATGTTTATGACGTCATTCTCGACTCCCGCGAAAAAACCACGATTATCGTTTATCTTGACGTCAATATCTGACGTGTTATTCTCACGTATAATTCTCTAATGCATGGAAAACTTGATCCTAGAGTTTAGTTGATCGTCGATAACGACCGCGTGTGCATATATGTCTTGTTGACGGTACAGCAAAGTTCGCGGTTTGTTTTGAGATCACGCGGAAACATCAAATCGAATTACGAATTATCAAGTATAGCCCGAGATTTTATTTTTGAATTTTATATCTCGTTGTCAGAGGAAATTTTTACGTGAATAGAAGACTATGTGTGACTTTTATTGGAAATGTGAATTTTACACGATTTTTCAATCGCAAGAATACAGAAGTTCGGGGGACTTAAAACGACGAGAAGTATGCATATTGACAATGTAAATCGAATTACTATGAGTGGCACAAGGTGTCCTATTAATTGGAAACTAGGAGCTATAGAGCTAAATTAATCTTGTTTATTGAGGAATTCAGGTCAATTTTTTTCCTCTCTACTTACACTTTTGCTCTCGATTGTAATTATTTTTCCTCATTGTCAAAATTCTATATAAAAAAAAAAAATAAGTTAGAAAGAATTAATTAATATTTTACACTTTGTACATGGTTATAAACTTCCGATCTTCGAAAATATAAATTGACAGATTTCGTAAAAAAATATAGATTTGTTTAAATTCTTATTAAATCTTTTTCAGTTTCCATATTTTACTGTGAGTAATCAATTGTTACATGTGTGTGTGTGTATGTTATAATAATAAAGATCTTACTCACACTATTTAATAGTGAACGTTAAATTGCTCACGTTACAGTGCGCGAATTGACAATCTCTTATCTCCCGTGCGGAGCAATCATTAGACCTTTAATAAGAACCATTAGATAATTCAAAAATTGACGATAAGAATTTTCACGAGGCCATAACTATATATTATTTCCTCAATTCTATAATACTTTAAAAAAATAAGATAAATTTGTGTTACAATGGGTTCCCGTAAAATTCTCCTGCGATATCTAAAAACAAATATTAAACAAAAGAAAAATATAAATGACAGAGAAGATAAAAATCGTTAAGAATTCGTCTTGTAAATTTTTTTTCTTTATTCTTGTGCATCTCTCGATTAATTTCAAATTTTACGCAATGCTATAATCGAGAATTAATTTCTTCAAGGATATTGACACATATGTGTACATTAGAGAGAGAGAGAGAGAGAGAGAGAGAGAGAGAGAGAGAGAGAGAGAGAGAGAGAGAGCTTTTAGTATATGAAATTCTTTAACAAATAGTTCCTTTATTTCTGACTTCAATAAATTTGTTCCTAAGGAAGTTACAAGATAAGGAGAAATTAAACTATTTAAACAATTTTTAAGCGCAATTTTAATTTTTGAACGAGAAGATTTTTGTGTAACGGATTCACATCCATTTTCTCGTTTTCCTTTAATGAAAATAAAAATAGTTTAGCCAATATATGCCGATTCGTAATTGCGATCTCGTTGCAGGTTTACCTGCTTGTTCTAGCGCTCGTTCCCGCGTACCGGTAATAACAGGCCAAGATTGTAATAAATTAACGGCAAATTAATATTGGCTGATTGACCGCGCTGCGCGACCTCTCACGCTATGCAAGCGCCGGCCGATCTCTCTCTCTTTCTCTCTCACCGAGTCGTGTGAACCTCAGCATCGCGCGCGAGCAACGGGGGTTAATTAGTTCAAAGTGGCTCACCATCTGCGACGCGACGACCATGTCTGGAGGCCGATCCTCCGCACTCCCGACACGATCCGAGCACCCGAATACGTGACCGCGCATCGTTCTTTGATAAGATCGTCTCGATACTCTCCTTCCGCGCGAGACAACTTCTCAAATTACTCCTACTCGCGTGATCGTAGAATACAAGGAAATTATAAACTGCGTTTCTTTACTCTTTTTTTATTTTAAAATTTTTTTTTCTTTTTTTTCAGGGACTGCTTCTTATCGTGCAGTGGCTAAAATTCGATCTGTAAATAATTTCTTAAATTCTGTAAACGGAATTTAGACAAACCACAGACTTCTATATAATATATATAGAAATATAATATACAGGGTGTTCCCGGGTTAAATGGTCAAACTTGAAATATGAATTTAGGACCTTAAAACAAGAAAAAAATTTCCTCTGGAAGTATGCTCGCAAACGCTTCGTTCAGATGAGATATTGACTTCTGAAGTTATGAACTATAGGAACGAATAATTTCGAAATAATCTAGGTTTATTCTATATTCATAACTGCAGAAGTCAATATCTCTTGAGCGCAGCGTTTGCGAGCATACTTCCAGAGGAAATTTTTTTTTTTTTTGTTTTAAGGTTCTAGATTCATATTTCAAGTTTGGCCATTTAACCCGGGGACACCCTGTATTATACATATATTCTATATTATACATATATTATATATTCTTATTATTATATACTCTATATAATAATAAGTATTTGTATATAATTAATAAATAATTGTTATAAGAAATATATATATATAATATTCTATTCAATTGTAAATGGCTGCTCTGGCTCCACCTGTCATATCGCTGTTAGCAGTTTAGTATATTATATACTGTCTGTGAGACAAACATAAGCTGAGAGAAAGAAATTACATGAACTTTCTATCAATCGCTATGCTTATTATTAGAAAATTGTTTGATATTTTTATTGTTGAAAATTGATAGATTCGATAAACTAGGTAATTAAAGATATTAATTAGGCGTTATATATAATCACATGAGTTACCTTCATAAAACGGTTCTCGTCACATATATACATGTATAAATTATTATATAAATTAAAATGATATATTATTCTACGAGAATATCGCGGAATTTAAGATATTTAAGATGGTTATCATATCTTGGCGCGCTCGCGCATTCAGCTTCTGATTCATAGGCCGGTATTCATAGCCAGTTCTTATTTCAAGACCGTCTTAAGTAATGTCTTAAGATGCTAATACGGCTCTGTGATTGGTTAAGGACATCTTAAGATTGTGCTTAAGACGGTCTTAAATATAAGAATTGACTATGAATACCGGCCATAGAGTGCGTTCGAGATGACGCTATTAGTGCACTCTATCCTTGTTCAACTTTCACAAAATAGAATGAGGCTATAGCGCTAGCGCCTCCTCGAACACACCCATATTCATACGTGGCGAATCGGATTGCGTAACACACGCTACAGCTGATGAAAGTTAGGTTAGGTCAGGTGTCAGGTTATGGTTGGATAACTTTTCGACACTTTTCGGATCGTATATACTCGTGACTCGTCGTCCATCGTCGTCTTTCCGTGATTGTCACAAGAATGGTGCTCTCGTTCACAGGATTGCCGTCCTTGAGACGTTTACTGTTGCTCCTTTTACAATGTTCCTTATGTAAGTCACGTTAAGAATGTGTGGCTGAAATATTCTCGAGACTCAAAATATTATTTTGCGGATGTGGAATTTGATTACGCTGCCAATGTGCAGTCAAATTCGCAATATTTGCAAATATTTAAATAATCCACTGAGATAACAGTTTTTTAATCAATAAACCACGCGCACACCTCGAAGAATATTTTAACCTTGAGCAAAAAATGTAAACTTTTTATTACTTTTAATTCAAATAAAAAATTGCTTAATATTTAAAAGGCCTGAGAAAATATTCTTAAATCTCTAAATAAAACTTTAAAAAATATTTACATATGCATGTGTATGTGCGTGCGTGCATAAAATTGGATAAATATTAATGAAATATGATATATACATATTTAATAATTGAAAATTATACATGGAAAAAATTTTACGTGATGCAATTTTTCGTAGTGTTCCACTTGAATGCGTTAAGCTGACAGTAACCGGAAACAGTCGCGTTCCGCACGTGGTCGTTCATCTGAAAGGAAACGAAGCAATGCACGAGCGGCTTTTCTTCATATAATTAAATTATCAAGGCATAAATCACTGGATAACGTTCTGTTCCGCATAGGGTATTACCGCAATCTGCTCGTTTACAGATTTAAAATTGATCTTACTAGTCGCGTGTCGTTGCGGCCGTGTGGTTTTCTGTTGCTTATTTTCGATTCCGCTCTCGAGTTTTTTTGCAACGCGCGCGTGTTCCCTTTCATTTTATTATATTCAATTATTTTAAAAAAGTACGCACTTTTATATTTTTCCTAAATAATATATCCAATCTCTTTTTTTTTTAATTACTCGCGACGAATTTTAAAGCACAATCTACGATTTTTTTCCGAGAATTAAAATAAAATAAAAACATAATAAAAATAAAATATAATATAATATAATAGACATTAAATAATTAATATATAATATACATTAATTAATTTTCGATTTTTCCAGGTCGCCGCGCAATGGTGAGCAAGTTTTGGTGCCATGAGATTGGACGCAGGTGGCGTCAAGCAGGCAAACAGGAGCCACCGCAAGCACGCGTGCTGACAGAACCAAAATGTCAATCATACGTGGCCACCTGGTACCTGTTTTACCGCTGGATCATCTTCCTCGTGTGGGCCGGCTTCGTAATTTGTTCGGTGTTCGAATTCGGCAGCTATAAACCGCTATTCCAATACGAGAAGTGGCCGATTTATCTGACCAACTGGGACATATTATTGGGCTTCACGCAGGCGTTGGTCGGCGGTATCCTCGTGTCGAAGCGATGGCGATTGCAGAAGATATCCGGTTTCGATCCTTGCGGCCTTAAGTTGGAGTCCACCGAGCGACTGTACTGGTTCCTGTATGTTGTCACGACTAACTTGGCAATCGGTGTGACGATCTGCTACTGGGTCACTGTATACAATCCGGAGATCCATCAGCTGGATCCGCTCAACATTATGATGCATGTGTGCAATAGCTTGCTAATGCTGGTCGACTTTGTAGTTACCAGTATACCATTCCGTTTACGGAATTTCTGGTGGTGTCTGTCGATCGCCGTGCTTTATGTGATCTTCTCGGCAATCTATTACATAGCCGGCGGACTCGATAAGCACGGTTACCATTACATCTACAAAATTGTCGATTGGAAGCGACCGACGCGGACATTACTCGTTTGTGCCGGCGGTTTCACATTCGTCACAGTGTTGCACTGCGTCATCTGTATGCTAGCGGATGTCAGGGATCGCGTCTACCGCAAGATTGCCGAAAAACTCGGCAAACCCGCACAGACTAATATGACGAACGATAACCCGCTTCCGGAAAAACGGCCGGAAGTAGTTTAATTAATACAAATTTATATCAAAGATATATCCTCGTCTATCCGGTATCTTCTAACCCTGGATAGTAGGACAGCTTAGTATTCGGCAAGGAAAAGTTTTACTACTGATGCTTCCTGTAGCTACGCCTTCGAGTAAATAGAATATCCTCGCGAGTGATTTTTGAGCTCATCTATTTTGCTCATAGAAAAACAATAAAATATTAATAGGATATTAACAGGGTATTTGACGAGTGATATAACCGGTTTAAATGATTCCTTGCGCGATTCTGTGAACTTTATCTTCGGCGATATTCCTAAGAAATGATAGTTATTATGTGATATCAAATAAGATACGATTCCATAATAACAATATTTGTAGAAGCCGGATTGGTAAATGCTCGGTTATTATAATCATTGAGACTTTTCGTGTGATTAAACTTGCTATTTACATAAAAAAGATAAAGATTCATATAAAATATATAGAAAATATATGTATTTTCTTTCACTAAATGTGAACGTCTCGCTAAGAAAGGCCATTATCAATTATGCAAGCATTTTTTGTACATTCAAATTATATGTAAACATTATATGATATTTTCAATTTCATATTTAACGCCATGTATGACATTATTTGTCTCGCATTTTTGCAATATTAGAAAATATTGTGTTAACGCATCTTTTTATATTTAATGAAAATGATGAAAATCACCTCGCATTCAGCGCTAATTGCGCTGTTAATCGAATTAATCAAAAAACATTGTATACATTCATATTGCGCGAACGCGTTTGCTAGTATTTTTGTTAGCACTGATTACATAGATTTAGAAATTTTAATGAGACGAATTATCGTTAAATCTAAACACAATTGTAAATGAAATCAATGAAGAATACACATATAAAGATGCATATACATTCCAGAATAATATTAGTATATCTTCAATATTGATTTAGAATGAATAGATTTGTGTTTTTAGAATACAAGAATTTGTTCATGTGTTTCAGTCACATATGCAAGAGTTTGGCTGTTTAGCCAAACTTATGGTTTATTGCCATATTGTAAGAATCAATAAACTTAAGTTAATTGATTATATCGATGCTTGTTTCAAACGCAATTATCGATGCGTATATAGATAAATTTCACGAATGGAACGTGAAAAGATGAACAATTACTCTTTAATGTGTATGCACGTCTATACTTTTTGTACATTTTATGTTTTCTTTTCCATTGTTACTATTACAAAGTGTTGTAAATTTTTAATTGATATTATTGCGTACGGTAATTTTTAATATATAGCGCTGTTTCAAAAAAGGTATTAAACTGTAATAAATCTCACACGATATGGTGTCATTAAATTATATATCGAATAATGAATATGAGAGACCTTATGGATATATGTATGTGTGCATGTATATTAAAAAAAAAAAATACAAGCTGAAAGAGAGAAAAGAAAGCCGAAAAATAGTAAATTATTTGTGAACAATATATGATTTCAAAGCACGCGTCGGATAGCAATAACAATAAAATACGCAGGTAATTACTTTTATGGAAAAATATCAACGATTTATTAATAAAATAACGATTTAAAGCGATTATGAGCCGCATAATACAAATGGATATCAGGCTGAGGCCAGCTCCTAGATCACAGATCGTATTAGAGTCACCATTTTTAAAAAAGCTATGTTTAATATAATGATCACACATCACATAGTTTAGAACGATCGTGTCAATTTTAAGATACATTTAAAATAACAAGAATCATCATGTCGTCCAAAACGATCATACTACAGTCATTCGACCATTCGTTTATCATAAAAGTTATTCGATTATTCAAATCTCACTCACGTTTATCACGAAAGTCATTCGAGACCGCGCAAATTAACGGCACTCTCAAGCGGACTCGAGTCCAATAGTAACACCTGATATTCCGTACCTGCCACATCGTCCTGATAGTACATCGATGGTAGTTCCTCCGTGAGCAATAGATTCTCGCTCAGATCGCTACTCATGCCTAACGCAACATCCGATGTGTTTGACACTATCGAATCCGTCAGTGTGCCATTTTTCTTAAGCTTGGACCAATCCGAATATGTCAGATCTGTCCTTGCAGAATTCTGATCTTTCTTGATCGACAGAATTCCCTTGTCAATTTCCTCGGCACAAACATCGGTATGCAGCGATTCCGAGCTCTTAAGTAAAGTGTTGAAAGGTGGCGGTTCCGGTTCCGGTAGACATTGACGATCCGCGCTTGATGACGAGGTGCCGAGGATAACGGCGTCGCACGATGTCACCATAACCATCTGTTCTTCTTCGATGGCGATTGGCGAAGTTGGGGGCGACTCGTGCACCGCATATAGAATGTAGTCTGCATTGGTAACGTTCGAAGATGGTTTATCTAGCAAATCGTCGCAACGTATACCGTGCATCTTCAGTAGGTGCTCGCGTAGACTCGCCTCGTTTCCAATCAGATAATCGCACATCTCTATCGGACAACGATACAACCATTCCAGTTGATCCTGAGAATTCTGGGAACGCGTACTGATATCGCATATCGTATCCGGCTTTTCGATGTCATCTTCCTTCGTGACAGTTTCTATGGCATTCGTTAGTTCCGTGGATTTTCGCTTCGGCTTGACGATCGGTTTCACTCGCGAGCAATCAGATTCGTCCGTTCTCGCACGTTTCTGATCGCCGGAAGTATAGCCAAATTCTGTCGGCACATTGTCGGATAAGCTTACATCTGTTTTGGTCTGTTGATGTTTTTTAATGTGCACATATAGACTGCTCTTGGCAGAGAACCGGGCATCGCATACAAAACATTGGAAAAAGCGGCCTTCCTTATGTGTCAGCCGATGTTCCTTTAAATGTTCCGAGCGCATGAAAGCTTTACCGCAATCCGGTGCGTCACACATGAATTTGCGTTCGTTGGTATGCTTCTTCTGATGGCGCTTAAGCTTACTGGACGATGAAAATGCCCATTTGCAATCCTGAAACGTACAATGGTAAGGTTTGCAGCCGGTATGAGAGCGCGTGTGGGCCTTGAGTCGACACGGTTTATCGAAAACTTTCCCGCAGCCCGGCCACGAGCACTTGATGTCCACTTCTTTATAGCTGTGCGATCGCTGATGCGACGTCAACGCGTTACTGCTGTAGTAACGCTTGCCGCAACCTTCGTGTTGGCAAACATAAGGCGCGTGGCGTTGATCATGCGATTTCATATGCAGTTCCAGTGCCCGTTTCGTTTGAAATTTTTCGCCACAATTCGGTACCTGGCAAACAATCCGGTTTGGACGACTATGCAATTTTTCGTGACTCCACAGATTGTAGACAGTGGTGAAACGACGGTTGCAACCCTCCACTTGGCACACATGATCCTTGCGCTTCAGATGTGTCTCCTTATGTCTTTTTAACTTGAATTCGGAATAAAAGGCCCAAGTGCAGCCTTCGAAGTCGCACTATAAAAATAGCGTAATCAATAAAGATGATTAGAAAAAAAAGGCAGTTATGCCGAACAATACTAAGAAATTGTTTACAAAAATATTTTGTTCGATTTCATTCAAATAATTGTCAAAATTATACCATTTATATCAATACGAAAAGAGAGATTGAAGAATAAAGATAAATATACGATACTTTTCAACGTACCTTAAACGGCCTAACTCCATAATGAGCCAACAAGTGACCTTTCAAAGTGTACAGTCTGCCGAATTGCCTGTTGCAACCGGCCCGTGGACAGAGCCATACCTTGTCGTGTTCGGTAACGCTTACAGGTTGCAGACTGTCGTCGGTGATGCCTAGTTCCTCCAGCGCATTGGATATAACAATTTCATACGAGCTACTCGGATTATTATCAACATTATACTCGATGTTACCGTTCCAGATTGTGGCAGAAGTATCTATCTTGGGCAATTTCGGAAAGTTGCCTGTTGCTTCGATCAGCTCCGAAGTCTTGCCCTGATAGATTTGCTTCTCCGTACCGGTATTGATGACAATCTGCGTCGTGTTAGATATTTTATCAGTAGATATGGCAACCACAGCCATTACGCTGTCCTGCGAATCCGTATCGGCGAAACTCTTTCCGTTGATGTGCTTGTCAAACTTCTTCTCCAATCGTTCCGTCATCTGCCGACGCTTTTTAATAATACGCGGTTCAAGTTTCATTCTAGTCTTCGATTTCAATTGTTTTATTATGCTACTTTGAGTATCTGTTTCTATGGAATTCGGTGAGTTCTCCTCCATCGATGACAACGCCTCGATAAAAAGTTCCGAAGGACTTCTCGAACACTGTATCGTAGTTTCCTGCTCTGATTTTATATCCTTCATCTTGTTCATGACTTCTAAATTCACTGGTATTTCATTGAGAACAACCTGCGTAGATTTCTCACAAGGTACTTCAGTATTCCGTTCTAAAACTTCCATTTTTGGAGTAATTTGTTCAACGTCTTGGTTCTCTATTTGATTTAGTATCGGTTGGCTGCTGGTGGATGGTAGGATCTCACCGGCTACCATCATGTCATCCGATGAGAGCGCTGCCAGAGGATCCAGATGATCCAATTGAAATTCTGGCAGCATGAATTCATCGACGACCTTCTCACATGGAGGTTCTAGTAATCGATTCTCACTCTGCGTCAGATCCTGCAGTATCGGATCATAGCTTGATGATAGATTGAGCTTCTTCGCGTCGGCCAGATCGATGTCAATGGACAAACCATACGGATCCTTGCTTAGAAAGTAACCATGCGACAGAACTTCCTCGCCCAGATACCGGTCCACGCCCTCCACCACCTTGGCCGCGTCCAGGTCCATGCTCGACGACACTGATGGCTCCGTACTGCGCATCTTCAGCCATTTCTCAAAATCGGCTACCGTCTCGACGACGTCGGTGTTCTTGGTGACCGTCGTCTGGTGCCAAGCCTCGTTTTTCCTAATTCTTCTATCCTTCTTCCCGATCCCCTCCGTCTTCGACGGGGCAAAGAGCGTGTCCGAAGGCACGCATTCCGTTCCCTCAGAGCCGATTTTCTCCCGACTGCGTCGTCTCGACGTGCAAGCGACGATGGCGGCGGCTCCTCTGCAAGACATTGATGGTCCACCCCGTGGCCAGCACTGCGGAGGAAGCCCAGGAGCGACAACGACATTCGACAGAGCATTATTTTTTTTCTCACGGCGAGAAGTAGCTTCGCTCCGGGAGCCCGGGCGTTGCACGTGCAATTGTCGTTGCGCTTATCAGAGCGCGCTCCATTTTTCTTATCGATCACGTTCTCGACGACCGCCTCTGTGGCTGGAAACCACAGTCTTAAGTTGCACGTGCAATCTGTTTGCTCACCTCACACCGAGCAATCGCTAATCGCCGAGGATCGCGCGATGCAAGCTGACAGAGTCAACATAACCTCTTACCATATACGCCGCTGGACAAGAAGGGTGGGCGGGCGGCCTGTATCGGATCGATGAAGCGGTTATGTCCGGTCAGCGAACTGGTCCGGTGATCATGAAATGAGAAAGAGATCGTTTTTCCACCACTTGCTCGCAACAAGGGTGAACGCGCGCACTCGTTGCGCGCGACTCGCGAGTCTCTTTTCTTCACAAATAATGATAAAATATGGAAAATGACAATTTTTTTTTTATCGCGCCGAATGGACGAACTGTCGCAACGGCCCGCTCGCAGCTGCCATTGAGCCACCTGGCGGCGAGTATGTGTATCTCGTGACACCAGTTACCGACAGTTCTGTGATACGATTGATAATATAGATTCTCTTATTAGCTGTCACCTGTATTTTTCGCACGATTTTTCTTCTAATTTTCATCCTTCTTCCTTTTTCTTTTGATGTTGAAATATATGCTTATAATTATTTTATTCTAGGTGTACGAAAAAAAAAAATATATATATTTAATATATACATATATACATATACAGGGTGTAGTGACAAAACGAAAGATGGAGGTAGATTGGGTCAAACTGAGTCGAAAAGTCCTGAACCATTTTTTTCTTATAACGCTTAATAAAGGAATTATTATTGAGTAAAGTCTGGCCAATCAGCGCCAATCTTTAGCCGGGCACACGTCAGTGAGCCCCGCGCCGTGAAGTGTGCGCCGCCGCATACTACCAGGCGCGCGGTTCACCGACGTGCGCCAGGCTAAAGGTCGGCGCTGATTGGCTAGACTTTACTCAATAATAGCTCCTTTATTAAGCGTTATAAAAAAAATGGTTCAAGACTTTTCAACTCAGTTTAACCCAATCTACCTCCACCTTTCGTTTGGTCACTTACTTGTCGGACATCCTGTATATATATATTTTTTTTCATATATCTACAATAAAATAGGTATACAAGCATATATATTCGAAAGAAAAAGGAATATGTATATACAGAGTGACCCGCAATGACCGTCCTAAGTACATAGCGTTATTCCTTATTAAAAATTGAATCGAAAAGTCCTGAAATTTTTTTTTTTTATAACGCTTAATAAAGGAGTTATTATTGAGTAAAATCGGACCAATCAGCGCCGATTTTTAACCGGACGCATGTCAGTAAGCCGCACTAAAGATCGGCGCTGATTTGGCAGACTTTACTCAATAATAACTCCTTTATTAAGCGTTATAGAAAAAAATGTTACAGGACTTTTCTGTTCAGTTTACTGTGCTCTACCCGCTCACGAGCGTTGGCACAATCTTTACCGGACACCCTGTATACGCCGCAAAAAGAGAAAGAGAAGAATTTACGAAAGCGTTATGTGCCGTTTTTATCTGATTAACTGTTGTATAATTAACCATAACCATTGTTTGTTTTTTTATTTATTGGAATTTTCAGAGTCCGGATTTATTTGAGACGCACGTTTAAACTCGGACATTTTTTCGTTCACTAAAATTTCTAATTGTTCAAATCTCGAGTGTCTTCGTGGTTTTTCTTGTTTCATTGCTTGATTCGGTATGTTTGCCGTAGAATCGCGAGCTTTGGCCGCACTTATCTGTGTCAACATTTGAGGCACCGTTTCCTCATTATTTTCCGATATGATGTCCTTCCGAAGATCGATGACCCTTCGGAAATTCGAAGGCGGCTTCATTTCATCGTACGGTCTTTTGGTCGTTGTGAATGTTATCGTTTTACCCTCGCAGTTATTATTATTCTATAATAATCAAGAAAACAATAAAAATTTAAACATAATACAATACAATGTCTTTAGAAATCGCATTTAGAAAATATATTAATGACTCTGATCTCGAAAGGATAGCATTGACGAAAATGTCAATTAAATATTCTTTGGTACCTCGTAGAAACCATCTATTATCATCCTGTTCAACAATACGGCTCTAGGCACTTTGTACATCGATGACGGTTGCGGCTCCAAGTTCCTCGGATTTTTCGAAGATCTAACCTGTTCGGTGTTGATCACTATGTTCCCGGTTGTGGCCTGATTACACGAATTCCCCTTGCGATGCGCTTGCTTCTGAGTCAGCCGATAAAGATCCGACAAGGATTTTTTGGGACCAAACACGTATTCCCAAAACGTCAACTTCCGTTCCAGAAGTTTTTGCGTCTTGCGATTAATAATCCTTGACTGCTCCTCAATCTTTGTCGATAATATCCTTCGGAAATTCAGAAAGCGCATTTTCTTTCTCTTTCCTGTCAGGATATTGTAGCAATTATATTAAAACCAATAAACAATACACATAAAACAATACACATATCTAGAGGACATCCAGAGATTATCCAGAGGTCATCCAGACATGTTTAACATCCTCTGGATATCCTCTGGATATTCTCTGGATGTCCTCTGGACATGTGTGTTGTTAGGGAAGAGACAAATTGCTTAAACAAAAATTAACTCATTGTCAGTTAAAGTTAAGTTCAAAAATTATTAATTCATTAAAGTTAAAAGTTAATTCTCTATCCAACAGTGTGAATCGACACATCCGATAAATTTGTTGTACGACAAATGAAATATTCGCATTATGGTCAACCATTTTCACATGATATTAATATTGATGAATTATTTTATTATAACTTGTATAAAAAAAGTTAATAAGTTAAATGTTAAAAATAACTAGTTTAAGTTAAAAGTTAATACGTTTAAAATTAACTAACAATAAGTTAAGTTAAAAGTTTATTAACTTTCATAACTTTTCAAATTTTTAACATTTAACTGTTTAACTAGTTATATAAATTGGGTTAATATACACTGTGTTGTATTTCAACATAAAACAAAAAATTTGGCCCATGAGGGGATCGAACCCGCGACCTTCGCGTTATTAGCACCACGCTCTAACCAACTGAGCTAATGGGCCAGTTGCTCAGGATGGTCAATTTTTCGATGTTATGCATATTTTTTTACAAAATGTGATAACACATTAAATACAAGAATAAATATTTAACGAAGTGCTCAATATTAGAGCAGTCGCCTGTCATTTAGCAGATTTAAACTTAATCCTCCAATTTCTCTCATATATTGAGCTCTTATATTGATTGATTGATCCTAACAACATTACAATTGTTATTATACTGAAATATCAATATTATTGTAAAAAATTTATACATTCCTTTTCATTCTTTAATACAAATAACTTTTGTGAGTAGTCACAATATAGAGTTTAGACATTATTTATTTTAATATATATTTGTTATCAATCTCTTTTAATTTAAGAGAATTATGAGATATCATATATACATGTATGTTAAGAAAATAAATAAAGACAAACTATTGCAGAAAAAAACTTATATTATTAAATATATTACATATATATACAGCCCCTGCACATATATTATATAAATAATTATACCAATTATATATAATATTAATTTAAAGCAAGAATTAAGAAATAGAATTTGATTAAAAACTTAAAATCTTACATTTTTTTACATTTGGTCCATAATCGTAATCTTCCTCGGATTCAGTTAAACTAGTATTGATAGGATCATTATGTTTATATTGGATAGCTAATTCTATTATTCCGTTGTTGTCTTCGCCAGAAAACACATTTACATCTGATTCTATATCGCTTTTCTGGATCTTTGGATAAGATATATCAATATTTGAATTATCATCAAAACCATCAATGGAATCAGAAATGTTGTCAGCAAAAGATTGAAAATTTGGCAGTACATTAGAGTAACATAAGGAATCATTAATTTCAGATCCGCTGCTTGATAAATCGCTGCATTTTGTAAGAATATTATTCTCACACATATTTGTTATTTTCTCCTTGAAAGCTTCTAATCCTAAAATTTAATCACTGTCAATGCTGTATATATCTGTACAATAGTGTAATTATTATAAACAAACCTGTGTCAGAAATTTGTGTTTTTCAATATTAATTTAAAGCAAGAATTAAGAAATAGAATTTGATTAAAAACTTAAAATCTTACATTTTTTTACATTTGGTCCATAATCGTAATCTTCCTCGGATTCAGTTAAACTAGTATTGATAGGATCATTATGTTTATATTGGATAGCTAATTCTATTATTCCGTTGTTGTCTTCGCCAGAAAACACATTTACATCTGATTCTATATCGCTTTTCTGGATCTTTGGATAAGATATATCAATATTTGAATTATCATCAAAACCATCAATGGAATCAGAAATGTTGTCAGCAAAAGATTGAAAATTTGGCAGTACATTAGAGTAACATAAGGAATCATTCATTTCAGATCCGCTGCTTGATAAATCGCTGCATTTTGTAAGAATATTATTCTCACACATATTTGTTATTTTCTCCTTGAAAGCTTCTAATCCTAAAATTTAATCACTGTCAATGCTGTATATATCTGTACAATAGTGTAATTATTATAAACAAACCTGTGTCAGAAATTTGTGTTTTTAAAGTTTCTGTAATTTTCATATTTTTGGAACTTGGCAAAATAAGATCTGAAACTTGGGTATCACTGGCTCTTTCAAATGATGCGATAAGTTGAGATCGAAATTTTATATAAGAATCTACCTTTTGAAAACACATTTTGCACAAAACTGCATCATCTATCTTTGATATCTGAAAATGGAAAAAAAAAACATAATAAATAAAATTATTATATAAACATACATATGATATATTGCATATAAATTATTATACGATACTCACCGTATAGCCAGTAATTAATTCGATAGCGTCTTTCAATATCATATATTTATCAAATTCCTCATTCGTATTATTTTCCTTTGACTTGATCAATAATTTGTCATCGAATATATCTTTGTGTTTGTCATTGGACAATTGTTTACAACAGACGCAATAAATATTAGACTAAAATGGAGACAAAACAAATGCATATTAATTATTCTGTATTTCTTTCACACATTTTTCTTATACATTATTTTTACTAGGACACACTTTCTTATTATAAATAATAAATTATTATTTATATCACAATCATATCTTCAACAGAAATAAATACACACATTTACCATTTTTCCACTGTGACAAAGAATTGATAACAGCTATCCAAGCACGGGCGATATGATCGGCGGATGTCAAACTCGAAGGAAATTGAGTATGTTTGTTGACGAACTTTCAATAACGCGTAGAAGACTCAATCCATAATAACCTTCTCTCAATTTTAAACGGAATGCCAATCATGCGTTCTTGTGAGAGAAATACATCAACACATGCGCAGCAAAACACTGCCAATCAAATTAAATAATATATAACGAACGCAAAAGAGAGATTTCTGCGCATATAATACATATGACATATATATATGTCAAACGAGCAGTGACAAGATGACACTCCGGTCATTCCATTACACCTTTTGCTGTATTCCTTGTGTATCTTCTTTCTTTTTTTCTCTTCAAAAATCTCTTAAATATATATAAAATATATACATAAAATATTTACTTTCAAGTTTAGAAAATACAGATTAAAATAGCGGCATGTATATGCGCAGTCTATATTTATTTATGTCAATGAAGAGTATCGAGCCAACCTTACCTGACGCGATCAGCAGTGTTCGCAGTCACAGAAGCGGGTAGACGGGTGACAGACAGTGACAGACGTGACAAGCGTAGACCTCTCTTGTCCGGCGAGGTCAAGTTTAGGGAGCAGTGAATGGTTCGGTCGACGAACCGTTATGGCAAATCGTAAAATAACTGACGATTCGTACGTTAGATCGTTGTTAATGCACCACTTGTGTTCCTCGTCGTCCGACGAGGACGATTTAACAACGGCCACCGCCGATGATAGCGAGGCAGCGCGATGCAAAAACGATATTGCTCGCTTGACGTCCTCGTCGTCCGATGAAGGGAAGATGACCGTTCGTTGTCGAGATCCCTCCAGGAACAATCGTCTGTCCCCGACGTCCGACAGCTCCAACTCCAGGAGTCAACCCGTCGAGCAGCCGACAGGTTAGGATTCACTGTATATTTGGGTTGCGTGGCGTAGATTTTAAAAATACATGAATTACAAAGTTTACCCCTCAATCCTGCTGTATATTTTATTATCATGTCATACGCTTCAATTATGAATTGTTTCATAACTGATAAGAGAGCGATCTGAAAACTATTGTTTGCTTAGGTCAGGATACGTCGTCGCGTCGCGACAGCAATCCCTTCAGTTTCAAGGCCTTCTTGAAGAACGGCACTCAGCAAACCAACTATCATAATACCGGGGCACGGCCCAAGGTCTACTCGTCCCCCACGTCGAGTCCCGGCAGCGTTTTCGATAAAGACAACGCCGGCGGCGGCGTTTATTCGGGCCGAAATCCGACAGAGCTGCCGGATTTCGTGCAGGATCACCTGGTCATCGAACAGTGTTATCTGAATCACGAAGCCGATCTGCCGGTATTGCCCGACGTAGATAATCTACCAGATTTTGCGTTGAACAGCGTGGAGCAGAGGCAATCCCGATTGCGAAACGAAACCAAGAAGAATGATTCTGAAATCTTTGGCGAAGATCTACGATCGTTCGATCTCACCGATACGCTGCACAAAACCTCAACGCACAGAGATCATTCTATGTCGAATGCGATGCATTCGAATCACTTGGATTTGCCTGTGTTTGGAGACAGGCTTGACGAAAGCACGTCCTATCTTCCTCGCCCCGAACACAGAGGTACCTGCATATGTATACATACAATACACATTTCGTGTTTTAAATTATATTCCTACAAAGTTCACCAAGATAATAGATATTTTCTATGCAGGATTTCCATTTGATTTACCAGTACCCTTTGCCGAATCTAATCCCAATGTAAATGCGACCACACGAGATGGTAATCTGCCAGGAAGTGAAACGAGTGTCCATAAATCTCTGCCAGACTTTTTAAGCGACGGACCCATATATAATAGGTCTGCAGATCCAGAATCTACCGGTGCAAGTATGGCAGAATCTACAGAAAGAAGGGTAAGAATGTTTCTAGCAGAGGGATCTAATAGAGATAAGATTGTATGGAAAAAAATAAAATAATATATGTATATATACATAAATATATTACAGCTTTTACTCGAAAACGAAAGGTTACATCAGCAATTAGAAACAGCTCGGAGGCAAATAAGCGAAAAGACTGAAAGGTGATTGCAGCTTGCTGGAATAGTTTCTAGCTTATTGACCATCATCGTATACTATCATTAATTAAAAATTATCGCATGTCAATTGCAGAATTCGTTTATTGGAGGCAGAACTACTGTCTAAGAGAGAAGTTGAGCATGAGGAAACAGCGCACTTGGAAAAGGCGATGGAACAAGTTGAAGATAATTTAAAACGAAGTACAGTAAGTATAAAAATTATATATATATATATATATATAAAAGAAAATATTTATATTTCTAACATTATTTGTATTATATCAGAAGCGAGCAGTTAATGCTGAAAGCACTGTCACATCGCTGAAAAAGAAGATTAAAGCTTTGATGGTTAGTATTTAAATATATGCATATACACAGTTTGATAAAATGTAAAATTAACATATTAACTTGTATGAATTGCTTAATTTAGGCAGAAATATCTCTACTACAATTGGAAAACGATCAACTTCGAGCTGGCACTTCGACTGCTGGACAAAGCGAGTCGAACACTGGTATCGCTAACACGAATCGCACTGTGAGAAGGCTCGCCCGTGATCTATTCGCGGCTGCATCGTCGGCCGAAGTATCTCTTAGGTAAAGAATTATTTAATTTAGTAATTTTTATTTTAGGTAATCTGTGTAATATTCAGAAGAAAATACTATCTATAATTTTAATAAAGATCTATATAAAAGTTGCAACTGCTTCTATGAGAAATTCGAGTGAATTTTGTTCTTTTTTTTCTTTTTACAGACAGTTAATGTCCGGTGTGGATAACCTGAGAGTTCTTGCATCGACTCTTGAAAATATGGATAGGATAGAAGATTGGACCAAAGACTTTTTACCCGATTCCGATGAGGACAATGCTGCTGGTCCCGCAGTATAACTCTCTCTCTTTCTATATATATACCACTTTATCACTTTTTCATATACTCCAGCAATTGTAATAATTTTGCTGCTTACTGATGCTAGTTAATCCTTACACTGACAGGTTTAACATAATACATTGTGCAGCAAACGTTGCGAACGCAACGAAACACATTACTCATTCGATTATTTGTTGTTATCTGTGTGTTTGTCGCAGAATTTTAAATTACCATCTTTGTTGCTGTCGTCCATACAAATATTCTAATGCAAGATCACTTTTGATCCGAATATATAAATATATATATTATTTATGAAGTATTTGTTATATTTTTTTGTATTTCTGTTCGTGATAGTTTATGCAAGAATATTTACTAACTCGATACCATCATGATGCAAAAATGCAGATAACATTGTTATCAGCAAATTTTCTTGTAATTAAAGAAACATATATTTTTTTAGTTATATATTGTACGTAAATAAAAAAAAGTGGATTTGAAAGATACTCGAAATCTTCGTGATATTATCACAGCAGAAGCTGACAGAATGCTAAAAGTGATCTCTTGCATGCATTATGCAATACAGCGCACGATGTAAAAGCCAAAATATATTTTTGACAAGTGACTCTCTTACTGTGTATGTGTATACATGAGGCTTTAAATAGAAATACAAAACAGATGTACAGCTAGTCTGATTCCAGACCATAAATTTATCAATAAGTTACAGATTACGCGATAACATGTATATATTGTCAGTACGATATTTATTTTTTAATCGATACATGTGCATTGTGCAGACACAAGGTATGTTTGAGTGTATGCGAAATGCATATATGTACTTTGGTATTAAAAGGAGTTGAATAACAATATACACACACACATATGTACAATTGCAGATAAGAAACATTTATGATACTTTATTAACTTTTTTATTTAGCATTTTAAATAAAAAGCTTCAAATAAAAAAGTTAAGAGATATAAATATAATATGATTGCCCAATCGTGTTATAAGAAATCCTGAAAAATCCAAGAGATTTCTTTCTTGATACATTAAATCTTATTAATTATTAATATATATATTAATAAAAAAATTTTAAATGGATATTTTTTAAATATATTGTAGCAGATGAAGAGTGCAAGATAGGTGGCAATGAAGATCATAAAACACAATAAAATAATGAATCATTAAAATTATTTGAAAACAAATTTGTATCTAAAATGTATGTCAGAGAAAAGAAATAGCATAGGTAAAGATTGTACAAAAACTGAATTAAATGCCGAAGCGAGAAATAATACAAACAATATGTCAATAAAAATGATATAATTAACTTATTGAAATTCTTCGAAAATATTAAGTAAATCAGTCTGTGTCTCAGTGTGACTTATTTGTGTGTTTAGCCAGGATCTACAGGCCCCTATGGGAATGTTACAACCAGTCTCGCAAATCAAAGACTTTGTTTGGGTCTCGGTAGAAACCGTGGTATCGTCGTGCGACCAAGCGGTCTGAGTTTGTATATTAGACAATCCTAAATCAGAAGATAGCATTTCGTTGCAAGTCTGAGTATATGTATTACTGTACAACAGTTGCTCCATGTTATCCAAATTATCCGTAGTTTGAGTCTCGATATTCGAACTTAAGGTAAATGATCTCGATAAAGATTCAGAATAAAAATACGAAGGGGAAAAGGCTTGTTCGGTTTGCGTTTCTATGCTGCTAAATCTATCATCGAAAGTTTTCGCAGTTAGCATAGGATCTGTTCGAGATATTCGACCGTCGGTCGAAGCGAAAGGATACCCTTCGACAACTGTCGACGCATCTTCGACGTAAGGCAACGTCATCAGAGCCACAGTGTTCTTTGGTACACACTGTATTAAAGGATTATGGCTGTGCTGATAGAGTGTCTCAAATTCCGTCTGAGTTACATTATCATTAAATGCCTCGAACATATCCTTTTCTGGTATCGTTTGCGTGCCTGATGTATTCTTCTCCCAAAAATCTTGCAAACCTACATCGTGGCAAAGCGGGCTAAATAAATTCGCCGATGCAAAATTATCGCCGAGATTAAGGTCCTCTTTGAGCAACACGTGTTCCGATTGTTTCGATAATGCGCAACGATATTTCTTTCCAAGATTATACATCTTTGACGACTCTCTGTTTGCTTGCGACTCCTGGGTCGTTTGCGTTTCCATTGATTTTCCAAAGTTCTTTTCTTTAGTCAAGCTAGTAGTCTGTGTTTGCTTGGATATTCGACGTTTTGTATTACAATGCGAGTTATTATTATTGAGTTTTGATGGGCTTGATAACTTTCTGCTTCTCTTGTAATCATCTGTCTGTATACTGATGTCGGATGTACTTTTCCCTGTAGTACTAATATTTCTGCCATCTCTCTCAGATTTATCTGGACTGGGTAGTATCGCCACAGGTTTGCTTATAATTCTGCTTGGTAAGATAATTTGTATTGTCTTGGAGTTGCTATGTCTGCAAAGGCATTAAAAATATTGATTAAACTTTTTATCGATCAATATCACAGTAATCAAATTAAAAACACAATGACTAAACATACTTTAAGGAATTTTTATATTTTTCTGTTATAGTATGTGAAGATCGCTTCGCATGTGTAAGCAGCGCTTCATATGTAGTATAAATCTTTGAGCAGGAACATTTAAACTCTATGCCGCAGACCCTTGTGTGTCCTTCCCTGGCAGATTCAATGGAGAAACTTTTACCACAGCGATCGCACGCATAATTCTTTTCCGCGTGAACTTTCAGATAATGCTGGAAAGATGATCCGATATTATTATTATTTTTTTATATAATAATCTCACACAGTTATTTTTTTCATCAAGCAATTATTAAAATATACACGGTACGCACTTGCTTCAGGTATTTCATGCTGCTGAAATATCTCTGAGAATTGACGGCATAAACACAAGACGGTACCGGACAGTGATAGCGTACGTTCTCCTTTGCGACTTTATCCAATTTCTTACGTTGGTGTACCTTGAGATCGTGCAATCTATAACGCGATACATTCGCGAAGATGAGGTTGCATTGTTCGCATCTGACATTATTGGTTATTACACTTAGCTCCTCCGGCAACGGACAGATCGTCTTCTCGCACAGCGATGCACCGCTGTCCGTCAGCAATCTCCTCCTCGGCATCGAGGATTATCTGGAACTGGAGACGTGCAAATTGTCGACACAAACTTGCGTTTATCGTCGGCGATATATCTATATTGACAGATTTCCTAACCTTTACAAGTGGCATCTTTAACGCTTAAGGCCCTGCGCACAATAGAGAAAATATTAGGAATGGAGTAAAGCCCGTATCAGAGTACGAAGTGCGAACCCATACCACAGTATATACAGTAGCGCAACTCTCCCGATTTTGTGTTGCCAAAACGGAGTGCGCATGCGCGGAATAAGTAAGTTGGCCAGTAATGCCATCTAAACTTCTCTCTCACTTACTCTTTTTCTTTCTACCTGTTCGTTCTCTCTCACATCATTTAAATACCCAATTAAGGCCGGTATTCATAGTCCGTTCTTATATTCAAGATCGTCTTAAGTACGATCTTAAGATACTATGCGGCCATTTCATTGGTTGAATGGGATCTTAAGACGACCCAAGACCACACTTAAGACGATCTTGGATATAAGAACGGACTATGAATACCGGCCTAAATGCCTACTGCCAACCTTATTTGGCGGAATAGATGACATTACGGCCAGTATTCATAGTCAGTTCTTATATTTAAGACCGTCTTAAGCACAATCTTAAGATGTCCTAAACCAATCACAGAGCCGTATTAGCATCTTAAGACATTACTTAAGACGGTCTTGAAATAAGAACTGACTATGAATACCGGCCTAATATGGGCTTTAGAGCTATCGCACACAAATTGACATAGGCCGGTATTCATAGTCAGTTCTTATTTCAAGATCGTCTTAAGTAATGTCTTAAGATGCTAATACGGCTCTGTGATTGGTTTAGGACATCTTAAGATTGTGCTTAAGACGGTCTTAAATATAAGAACTGACTATGAATACCGACCTACATATCAAAGATTGAAATTTGACAATCAGGATAAAAAAAACTAAAATTTCCTTGTCCTGATTGGTCAAATTTCAATCTTGAATCTTGAATCTCAATCTTCAATGCGTAGTCTGATACGGGCTATCAAACACTTTTTATATGATCGCAATCTGACTCACACTTCGTGTATACTTAAAAATGCGGGGTCCATGCATGAAGGAAGAGTAAGGAGAGTTATCTCGATAGTGTAGAGAGAAAAAAGGTGGTCACGAAAAATGTTCCGTATATGCCCAGGTTTGCCAAATGGAATGACTTGGACCAATTCGTCGCCATCTTGAATATTCGTACATATATAGTGTTATGTTTAGTTGTATTAGTGATCAGTAAGTGTGTTGGATGACACACTACTTACTAATTACTACCACAACTAAACGTAACACTATACATATACGAAGATTCAAGATGGCGACGAAATGGTCCAAGTTATTCCATTCGGCAAACCTGGCCACATACGGAACATTTTTCGTGACCACTTTCAATCTAGGTAGATAACTCTCCTTAAGCCTTCTCTCCTTAAGCCTAATCTTCAATCTTCAATGTTCAATGCGTAGTCTGATACGGGCTTTACTCTTTCTTCATGTTCAAGATTCAAGATTAAAATTTGACCAATTAGAACAAAAGGGACTAAAATTTTTTTGTCCTGATTGGTCAAATTTCAATCTTGAATCTTGAATCTCAATCTTCAATGCGTAGTCTGATACGGGCTTAACGCGGAACGAGAGCGGAACCAATCATGAGCGTTCCGCAGTTTCGTTCCGTTTTCAGTAGTTTCTAGCAGAATAGGTTTCGCCATAGACATAGTATATCTAGACCGAGTGTTGAGGAGTGGGGTCCGATGCCAACGTCACATTTTACTCGTATTCAAGTTTTTGTCTTGAAAGGCTGTGTTCCGATTCCCCACCCGTGTGCACCCGATATTATAGTATACGTGACATATACTATCCCAGCAAGCAAAATGATGCAAACTTTGCGCAAAGCGAGACCATCATGACGTCTATCTAGATGCGAAAGTCGATCTATCTTAGACGTGTCGAATGTCGAATAGACGTCGACTATACATCTATTCGACTTCACGTTTCTCTCTGGGACCCAGAGTCGGGTAGAGTCAACAAATCGAATACGCTATATGCATTGAAGATTGAGATTCAAGATTCAAGATTGAAATTTGACCAATCAGAATAAAGAAATTTTAATCTTTTTGTTCTGATTAGTCAAATTCCAATCTTTGATCTTCAATCTTCAATTTTCAATGCGTAGTCTGATATGGGCTTAAAGACTACGCATTGAAGATTGAGATTGAAGATTCAAGATTGAAATTTGACCAATCAGAATAAAGAAATTTTAATCTTTTTGTTCTGATTAGTCAAATTCCAATCTTTGATCTTCAATCTTCAATTTTCAATGCGTAGTCTGATATGGGCTTAAAGACTACGCATTGAAGATTGAGATTGAAGATTCAAGATTGAAATTTTCATATGGAATCCAATTTCCTTGTTTCTGAATCAATCCCAATGATTTCAACCGACGTGAAATTGCTTGTTGAGTCACTCCCAATGTAAGTGCAAGTTCTTTAAAGCCCGTATCAGACTACGCATTGAAGATTGAGATTGAAGATTCAAGATTGAAATTTTCAATGCGTAGTCTGATACGGACTTTAGAACTACGGATGTATTAAACCCGATTAGGGGTGCGTTCCGTTTCACGCATAGATCGCCTGGAAATCTATAAGGCCTTATAGATTTCCAGGCGATCTATGCGCTCAATGCGTGAAACGGAACGCACCCTAGGGGTGACGTGTAAACGTAGGTCGTGTTCCAAAATTCACTACCAGTACTGGAAATCTATAGTTCACGTAACATATATTATAGATTTCCAGTACTAGTAGTGAATTTCGGAACACGACTGTAGTCAGAGACGCGACATCGTTACCCCCTCCATGCTTCCCATGATCGCCATGTTGGGCCCGCAGCTGTCCATTTGGAAATCTAAAATGTTTTAAAAATATCTCGGAGATATTTAAAATGTTTTTTTTTTTTTTTTAGAAAATAACAAATATACTTTTTTCTTATATACGGTACGCCGGTTGCGGTTAGTTTGCACATAGGATTCACTACGGGACCAACATGGCGGTCAGCAAGCGAGACGCTATTGTCCCTTCTCTGATTATTTAGGACTCTACTATCGCCTAGCATTGTGCAAGGGCCTTGAGAGATAAACAGATCTTTTATATCTATGGTTTTGTCTTTAGCATAGTCGCCAACTATGGCATAAAAAATATCTCTGAACATCGTGCCGCCAAGTACAGTTTTTCATTTTCGAGACAACCAACTTCAGATTTCAAGTTCTCATGTTTCAACACGTTCTCTTTCTGCTTCTCTTGGAATGGCGGAACGATAACGAACGTTACTGGCAAGTTAGTATGTGATGATACAGTGTTCAAAAATATAAATTTAAACAACATTTACTACAAATGAAAATATTATAAACATTTGACTGGACGGAAATGAGAGAATAAAATCTCTAATCAATTCTGTATACGTAAGAAATTGAGATGTGTAATACCAGAGGTATATATTTGCACTATCACTAATATTAATATTGCATGTTAAAATACTATAATGAATATTTTATATAACACTATAATGAAGAAAATTTATTTTATTCTTTGATAATCTTTCTCTCCATACACAGGACAGATATAAAATATCGAAATGTGTAAGATAAAATTTTCCAGATAAATCTATGAATCCAAAAACCTAGTTTCTTTGTATATATTATATCCTTATTTCTATATATGCACATATTTGTTGCATAAAAGAATTAAACATTAATTACAATATGCCGAAAATACCGAAAATTCGGAAAGCTAAAAGGGTCAGTGTGCTTACTAAAAAAGGGCAATGCCTGGGGAAGCATTACAAGGAACGATCATATAGACCATGTAAGATAATTAAAATTCTCCATCGATTGTTTACTTTATATTTTTTCTGCATTATTATCATTATTTTACTAATAAAATTGTTTTTTTTTTTCAGTATATGAAAAATTAAAGAGCAACAATAACTTCTTGGCTAAGGCACTTTCAAAGGAAAAACAAAACAATCAATCATTATTTACGCAGAATGTTCAGCTAATTGCAGAGATTCAACAGTTGAACGTAGTATGCAACACACGAAATGTAAGCATTATTTATATTAAAAATTAAAAAGTAGGAATATGATTGCATGGAATACAAACTTACTTATTAAAACGGAAGTAAAACAGTCCAATCAAATGTAAAAAGATAAAGAATCTTATAAAATATAAAAAAGAAAGAGAAGAAAAATTAGTTGGAAAAAGTAACGTACCTAAATATTATAAGAAGAAGCTATTGCATGAATCTATACAAGGTATCCATCCATAAATGTTTGAGTTAATTTTTATAGCTTTTCTTGAGACCTTTTCAAAATACTATAACAAAGTATTTTTTCATTATTTTTCGATTAAATTTATTTTATATCCTAATCTGACATATATTGATATAAATATAAAATATTCAGTTTTCAATAATCTTACCATAACACTTTTATGTACAGAATAATGAGACAAATCAATTGGTATAAAGAAAATAATTATTTTTAAGAAAAAGTATGTACTTATTTAGAATGTATTTTTTTTAAACATTTTTACAAGGAACGATCATATAGACCATGTAAGATAATTAAAATTCTCCATCGATTGTTTACTTTATATTTTTTCTGCATTATTATCATTATTTTACTAATAAAATTGTTTTTTTTTTCAGTATATGAAAAATTAAAGAGCAACAATAACTTCTTGGCTAAGGCACTTTCAAAGGAAAAACAAAACAATCAATCATTATTTACGCAGAATGTTCAGCTAATTGCAGAGATTCAACAGTTGAACGTAGTATGCAACACACGAAATGTAAGCATTATTTATATTAAAAATTAAAAAGTAGGAATATGATTGCATGGAATACAAACTTACTTATTAAAACGGAAGTAAAACAGTCCAATCAAATGTAAAAAGATAAAGAATCTTATAAAATATAAAAAAGAAAGAGAAGAAAAATTAGTTGGAAAAAGTAACGTACCTAAATATTATAAGAAGAAGCTATTGCATGAATCTATACAAGGTATCCATCCATAAATGTTTGAGTTAATTTTTATAGCTTTTCTTGAGACCTTTTCAAAATACTATAACAAAGTATTTTTTCATTATTTTTCGATTAAATTTATTTTATATCCTAATCTGACATATATTGATATAAATATAAAATATTCAGTTTTCAATAATCTTACCATAACACTTTTATGTACAGAATAATGAGACAAATCAATTGGTATAAAGAAAATAATTATTTTTAAGAAAAAGTATGTGTGTTTTGAAAAGGTCTCAAGAAGGACTATAAGAATATGCAATAAAAAATAGGAGTTTCCATTGAAAAAAATAATGGTGATTTTCATAACTTGAAAAGGTTACGAGTAAAAAAAGTTTTTTTACATGTGCTTTATTGCGAACTAAAAACTGTGCTAATTTCTCTTATTAAACTTTCTTGTAACTTTAATCAGTGTGAAATATTTGTTTGAACATCTATGGTTGGACATCCTGTATATAAATTCAATATTATATGTAGATATTTTTTTTTTAAATTTGGGCAACTATTGTGTGGCTTCATTCTTTCTTAGCTTTATTTTTGTTCTGATTTCTAATTGTAATTTTTCCCAAAAGTTTTTAAATTTATTTATTAATATTTATTATCTGTTTTTTTTTTTTTTTTAGACTGTAATTGCCAATGTACAGAATAACGCAAAAGAAATATTGAAAATGTTACTCACCATGACTGGTTATATAACAAGTACTATTTCTATGTGTCAAGAGCTCGCTGTTTCCAATACTACTGTGAGACTGTCGTCTGCTGCAGATGGAAGTAAGGAATATTTCACCACATTATATTGCTAAATTTCGAGGATTTTGCAACTTAATGTACATAATTTATTAGAAGTATGTTATTTATATTGTATTGTATACCTTTATAAAACATGGTTTATGGAATATTCCAGGAAAAGAATCTTCCAATAGACTGTCGACAAAATCTCCAGCTAAAGGTGTAGTAAAACCAATGGTAGGTGGACATACTATTACTAAGCCCACAATTAATTTGAGTCGAGTTAAAATGGAAAATATATCAAGATTAAGTGATATACAAGAATCAACTCCTGATAGAAGTCAAGAGATAAGTGAGAATAGATCATCAATTACTGTTTCTTTACCATCTACACCACTTAGATATGTATGTATATATTTATTTTATGTCATTTTTCATATATACATATATATATATAAATTTTTTATATGCAATATACAATCATTTTAGGAGAATAATCGAACTACGTGTAGAATGCCAGAAAGACTAACAATTTCTTCATCTAGAGTTAATGGTATAACAATATCAATCACAGATTATTAATCTATAATCTATTTAATTACTTAATCGTGACAAATTTTTTGGTCAATTAATATAGTTGTTAACATTTAGATGCACTTACATTGGCTGATGAACAAAGAAGAAGAAGAAGAAGAAACTATCATTCCAAGCGAATATCAGGATCTTATTCGCGATCGCGAAATAGATGGTCTGATGAAACTCCAACAACCAGCACAAGACATATTAATGTAGCTAGTCCTACAATACAACTTAAAGATATATCCAATTTACTGCGTGATTCTCAGACTATTAACATTAGAAGAGTAAGTGTTTATTCATGTTGAATGTAAAAAAACGTTATTTCTAATAAAGTACTTTCTTCTTACCTTCTATCTAAGGATATTATATACTTAAATTGTTAATATAATATTATTATTTTCGTAGATAATTGATAACAGAGTTGATGACATTGAAAATCAGGAGAATAATGACAATGTGTCTAATGATCCATCAGAAAGAAATGTCGTAATACCAGAGACCCGTATATCTATTAATCCAAACGAAGAAGATGAAACGCACGCGCAAACACCAAAAAAGGATCCCAAAGTAAAAATAAACAGCAAGGTCTCTGATAAAGATCTTAACAAAATTCCAAATGTAATAGAAAATTCAAGATTATTGCAAAATAATACTAGGAATTGGGAAGAAGAGGATCCATTGGAAGGTCCGAGCTGGTTATTTAGTAATACCATACCATCGCGGGATAGCGAACCAGAAGAAGAGCTTTCCGATGTCAATAATAACACATCTCAATTAATAGTGTATGATGATGAATCGAGCAGTGCAGAAAGCAATACAGAAGAGTTATCACTGCTACAAAACTTAAATGAATCTCTGAATGATATTCAAACTTTAGATGGAGACGCAACACCTATTGCCGATCGTACTAGCTATCAATCTCATAATGAAGATGATGATAGTACTTATGAGCTTCCAGCAGGAAATGTATTCAATCGTAAAGAAAATTTAAATAACATAGAAGATAATGCTGAAGATGCTGCAACAAATTTTGGAAGTTTTGTGACAATGAGGCGACAGCATCCCAAAGTGACAGAAGACTTCACACTAATGTTGTCGCGTCAACAAATGCGAAACATGCAATTCGATATCAATGAACTGAGGTTACCTAATTTAGATGAATCTATGATGAATTCTATTAATAATGGGATCGACACCGAAGTTACTGCTGCAAGCTCAAGCGTTGCGAATATCTCGGTGTCATCTATGTCAAATCAGACTCTGAACGAATTGGAACACGGTCAGACTGCCATAATAAAACTGCCATTAAGTTCAATGAAGGATCATGAAAGAGAATCGATGCTACAACAGAAAAAGGATTTAAATAAAAAGAATAAAATATCGAAAATGTTGAATTTCGATAACGGAACCAATCATGTTGAAAATGGTTCGGTAATTAAGAACAAGACGAAGAAAAAAAACAAATCGCAGAACAATCGAGATCCAAGTACGGCTAAAGTTGTTTTGGAGAAGCTCAATGAAAATCATGTTAAGTCAAGGACGCCATCAGCCGACGATATAGAATCCCGAAACACTCATGATCACACGTACGTATAATTGAATAAAATTCTTTTCGTGAATTGTGTGGATTATACAAGCTTTAATATCCTGGATTTGCAGGGGGGACACTATGTTGAATTTTGATGAAAATCTAGAACAGGACGAAATTCGGGAATCTGAAAATAATATGAACAATAGTTATGCTTCCGGCCGTCCTAAACGAAGAAAGGCTCCAGTAAACTTGAAAGAGCCTAATTTGCACAAGTAAGTAAAAATTCCGCTTAAATCGAATAAAATATATCTGTTAAGATTTATCTTGATTAAACATTAGAGTATACTGTAAAGACTATAACGTTATATTTCTTTGTCTTTTAGAAAATTAAGACGAAACCAGTGAGAAGACTGATGTCATGATCAATGTAAAACAAGATAAATTATTATTCGCATTATCGATATTATGTGAAACAAGATAAATTATTATTCGTGTTACATAGATGATATTGTTGAAAGCCGTTTTTTTCTTCTTGTATTTGTGATTTTTGAATTAATATTAAAATAGTCCTGTATATATATGTACATCACAAATTATTTGAGTCATAAAATATCAAGAATTAAATGTTATTCTCTCTCTGTTAGCTGATGCTTTAGAACAGAAAATTACATTTGATAAAACTATCTTAATAATCTCGTGAAGAATGTATGGGGATATTCGTAATATGTATTTCCACTGATATATCATATATAATAATTGGTCTTCGTATCGTTATGTTCCAACTATAAATGTATACAAACTATACTGGTATATCTTCTTTTTATACTAATATATTGTATTCTTTTATATTATCTTAATACAAGAGTTATCACATTACTTTGCAAAGCTTCACCGAATCCACGAATAATATTTAAACTTTGGATGCAACCATCTATTGCTACTTGTACTAGGTATAAATTATATCTATACAAACATATGATGTAGATGATAGAGTTTTTCTAAAATTTCCAACAGTAACTATGTTTAATCGTAAAAGGAATTAAATAACAGAATGATATAACAAAGATCAGAGTTATTTTAATAAATGTAGACACCATTAAATTCCGCGGAAAATATCTTTGTACAATTTTAATAATTCAAAATTTAAACCAAATAGAGTACTGTTTAATTGACAATTAGGACAACAAATTTTTGCTTGTTTTGTCCTAGCCGATCAATCGTTATTCTTTTGAAGAAGGTATTGCAGTTCTTAAAATATCAAACAAAATATCGAACCAATAACAAATTTGAAATTCAGAAATGAAAAAAAGAAAGAATTAACTAAAAAATATTTAAAAGCATAGATTTAAAACAAAGTATTTTTATTCAATTTTTTATTCTATATTTGATTTGATTTTATTCTATTTAATATTTGTCGATTATATGACGATTCAGATTTATCGCGCCACTTTTACCGCGCGATAAAAAGTGTTTCTGCGTTCTCTGTCTGCATGGATCATAGATAAAAATATGTAGACGTAAAATTTAATAAAATAATATTTATTTTATATCTTCGTTTTAAATGACATGGTGCCGCGTTCGAATTGCTCCGTATTTTTCGCGACTATTTTACTGTCTAAAAGTAAATTTGGTTGGCGAAAAATTATCGCGAGTGTTGCATAAACACATATTTCAAACGTTTGTCGTAAGCTAACAGTTATACGCAATGTTACAACTTATCTACATCCGCGATGCGAATGTATATATTTTTATATATTTGAAGGGAGTTCACTCTGATATCGTTTCCATATATTCTTCATTTGAAATGCAGTGAAAATACAATGACCGTTGCCAGGTATGCATATACTAAAATATTTGGGCATTATTTCTAAGTTAAATAACTTGCGATTAGTTGACGCTACATCGGGACAGATATATTTCGATATTTCGAGAGAGAAAGAATCTCGATTTATCTTCATGTTTTGCATCAATCGATCATGGCGTTGCTGCGATATCACGTCTGAATTTCTCATGATTTTATTATTGTTGTTTAAGAACGAGTTCGACCAATTCTGATCTTAATCGGCGATTAATTCAACCGGCAAAATTACACAATTTTTAAATGTAATTTGTTCGTTTCTAATGCAATCTTTATTTTCATGCGTGAGAAAACAAAAAATTCATAATTCTATGTTAACACAATTTTGCAGGTATTACTCGATAAATAAGGCTTAGTCAAAGTGTATCTTTAAAGTGAATCATGGACGCGAAAAATTATTGCGTATTTGATTTATTTATTTTTATTCTTTATGTTCGTTTTCTTTTATTTGTTTCTTATATCAAATAATATTTCATGATTATATTGTAATGATTTAATATATTTTTTTTTTTTGTATAATATCTGTGCTGTGCATGAGACTAAATTTGAATCTGGTACATATATATATCTATTATTGTGATATTATCAACGATTTCATTTATGCAGATATTTTTTATTATATGATAATACAGAAATATCGCGCGCAAATAAAATTTTCGAGTTATCAAACTCTACGCTAGATGACTATAGTAATACTTTTTAATGCCTCGCCGTGATTACACAACAATACTATACATTCTATTTTCAAATTGCGTGAATAAAATTTTAATACGTTATGTTAAAATCATATAAATAGAAACATTAACGCGCTTTACGATAATCATAACTTTTCCGGTAGAAACAAATATATTTTTCATTTTTTTGCCGTTGCACGTATATATACGTGTTGTGATATGCCACATGTTTGTGTGTGTGTGAGAACAAAGAGGTGAGATTCCAAATATTATTATATATCTATATACATCGTAATATTTAACAATAGATCTCAAAATATAATTCATTATTAATCTCACCCACAAAGTTTAAGAAATGAATCTAGATGGTTATGGCATTAATAGCAAATAGAATTTGGATGATTATTTTCTCCATGTTGAATTATCGAAGCATCCCCAGACAGCACAAGGATGTCCTTAGGACGTCCAAGGGCATCCAGGACATACATGTAGGATATCCTGAGGATATCCTATTTTAATCCTCGGATCTCCTCTGGATGTCCTGAGGAAGAGTAAATGATAGCCGTACACTAGCCTCTGGAGAATCCAGGGAGATCCTGTGGAACATCTTAAGGATTTCTATAGGATATGTTAGGGATATTTTTCATACGTTAAAAGGAACAAATTCTAAAATTTAAATATAAATTAAGATTGCGTTCTGTTATTTACTGCTAATACTAAAAATAGTTCACGTTCTTTAATATTTGAGGTTTTCGTGCTATACATGAATATTTTAGGTTTGGCTTCCGGGTTTGAGTCGTGTAATAATTTCAAAACAATCCAATATCTGAATTCCCTATGTTGGGATTGCATCAGAAATTGAACTGATAAAAAATAATTATATTTTTAATTTCCTGTTAGTTGCTCTTTGCAAGCTTTATATAATTCTCATGACCAAATCTCAAATACGAGTTCGCGCGTCGCATAGCGGTAAACAAACGAACTAGCGGTTGAATACTATTTTTTGTAAAGTTTTTGGAATGTTGCGCATAGTAACATTTCTCATGAAATATTAAATAAATAATAATTTTGAATATATGAAAATGTGCGCATCAAATTCAATTATTAATATTAAACAAAATTAATGTTAACAATTAATTGCACATGTATATATCCTCTGGAAATCCAAAGGACATCCAATATAATAGACAGGGCAGATATCCTACAGACATCCAGGGGTTATCCAGGGGACATTTATAGGACATTAATACTTATTACAATACTTAAAATTTCTAAATTATATTAAATAGCCTACATAACCGAAAGTAATCATGTATGCATATTAAATTTTCATAAAATATATTTATAATAATATCTTAAAACATCCTACAAATATCCTGAACCATCCTGGACATATTCAGGATGATCCTGAGGACGTTTTGTGCTGTCTGGGTCTACTCTTCTTCTCTCAGCATTTTAGGGAACGCTTAATGTCGCAACGATATTCGGAAAAGTACCGGCAGTATGGCAAATTAAGCACTAGGTGAAACTCTCGGTTCCACTCAGCTCGCGAAATGATTGATCGGCGTCGGAAACGGCCAGCAGCTTTCGTGCGCAAATAAAAAGGCTTGGCCTCTCCGCGTACTCGAGAGTAGTATTATGTATGTAATGGATTTAACCTTTTCCGCGCGCGCGCGCTTCCACGCGAGGACGCGCGGGGGCGAAAATTAATTATGTTTGTTTAATTTCGAGATGAAAAAAGCTGCTGGCACTGCCCCGCCCATGCACGACTCTAATCCAAAAAAGAGAGAAACGAAGACAGAGAAAAGAAAATTGTTGCTGAAATTGTTATACACGAATTAAAAAATCTTGTGTGAACGATTTTAATTTTATAAAGTTCAAAGAAATATTTAATTATGTTTGTTTATATGAATTATGCTATAAAGTTTAATATAACTTGTGATTTGAGAGAGAGAAATACATTCCATATTCTGGAAATATAATATATATATATTTCTTTTTCAACTTTACTAATTTTATTTTATCAAATCACAGATTTGTGCTCTATTGCTTCGAATCATACATTACTTTGTGTCTCGGAGAGATTAATGCGTTGCTTTAAGGATAAAAATGCAATTACATAATGATAGCACTTACAGAATTGCATAGTAATTGGACTTTTATCCTTAAATCGATGCATCAACTTCTGAGATGCGATGATATTATAATTTAAGATTCGAGACAGCACAAATCTGAAAAATGTGTGACTTTATAAAACAAAATTATTGTAAAGTTAAGAAAGAAACCATATGTATATATTATATTAAAAACGTGGAACATTTTCCTTAAAATTACACAAGATACATTAAATTATTATTTTTTACATCGATTATTATTTGTACATCGATTCAATTCACAAGCCATACTCCCTAAAAATGTAATACGATATATGGCGGTAGAATTATTCGTGACATGATCAATCGTTACATCATATCGATGCAACGTGAACCATAGATTGTTATGCTTGCATTCGCTGTACGATATCGGCGTGTGTTCAGTCACGTGGCAACATAATGTGTTTGTTGCTCTCGTCGATTACCGGATATCAACGCTTCGCGCTCACATTTCCCCGTGCGGGCCAGAAAATGGAGCGAAATTCGAGATAAGCATCTTATTAACTATGCTGCGTATTGACAAAACTGTATGGTTGTCTGTATCTTATACAATTGCGTCTTATGCATTGAATGATTTTCGACCTAAACATTCGTCGTTATCATTCTCAGTTAATGTCGTTAATCGACAAACGTGCAAGTTTTACATACTGATTCCTATGTAATCGTATAACTACGCTGTTCACTTAGAAAGACACGTGATTATTTTCGAACGTGCGCGGATTATTCTCAAAATATAAATTTTAAACACGCATTGAAACACGTAATAAAATTTTTTTAGTGGAAAAATAAACTAGAATCAAATAAAAAACACTTTCATTATCAATAATCATGTAATCCCCGTGAGGTAACGCTGTATACACACATACTCTATTAAAAACATAATTCAAACTGCGCATAATTTATCTAAATTTATCTCATTTATTTACAAATTCAATTTAAATTAATTAGATTAAATGCGCAGTTTGAATATACATATAATGTTCTAGTTCAATGTCCTACAGAATTATAGAATATATTTCGGCGATAACAACCAATTGGTTTGTTTTTCACGATAAAAATATCGTTAGGTTAGAAACAAAGGTTTCTAAGAGATAAATTTTTCCGTTAAATATCTTTTCTACTTATGGAACTTTGGAATGCAGTCGAATCCAACAACAGGGCGCGATAATATTTATGACTTTCAGTATTGCTTTTCTGTAAATAAATGACCCGAATATAATGGTACGGCAAATAGCACGCGCGCACGTTTGGAACGCTCTTTTGCAACAGCAACGCGAGTTTCCTGGAAAAGATTCGGGGAATAATCGCTACGCGAAACGATCAAAAGATCATTCCCGGAAAAACGCATGTAGCCGGAATACAGCAACATGCGAGTTCGTTCGAAAATACATCCGACAATCGAATGCACCGCATTTTTTTATTGAATTTACAATTATATTTTTTATCATATTCCAATTTTCCCGGGTTATAAAATATCAGATAGCGATAAAAAAATTAATTGATAAGCAAAAGTGTTAAAAATATCGTTCGTAAAGTTTTTACAAATTATAAAACGTTAAAGAGTAAAAATTGGCATTTGAAGATTCAGGCGTGCTATTTTAGAAATAGTATATAAAACATTTTGACATAAATCTGTCACTTTTATTTTTAATGACATACTTGTAACAACTGAGTAAATTGAATTGTAAATTTATCTTAGAATCAATAAAATGTGCACAATCGATTATACTATTTATTCAAATCGAGAATGATAATGATTCTCGATCGGCCTGAAAGTCGTTCAATGTATCTCGGACGCAATTGCATAAGATATAGATAATCAGATATGGACGTATGCAACATATGATAATGTGGAACAATTGAGATTAGTGCTTACTATGATACGTTCTATGCGATTGGTATCGGCGTATTAACGTGACAATTAAAGTAATCAAATAGTAATTCTCATTACCCAAAGTTTATTAGGTAAGAAAATGTTTCATTAAAGGCTTCATTATCTTTTTTTCACTTAAAGAAACTTTCATGATAAACTTCAATATTCAATAAAAATGAATAAACAAACATTTTAGATTTGACGATATTATAAATTTTGAGACTCGATTGTGTGATCACATAATTATACTAGCATTTTGCAGGCTACAGATTTTTATCTATTTTTAAAACCTTTGAAGATATACGAAACTCGATATGTAATATGTATCTCACATTTTGTATTCGCTTATTTTTCATTACCGCCGCAATTTTTTGAAAACTTCAACTTCGGCACGCGAAACGTATATAAACCCGTTTTTGCTCGTCCAAAGTTGTATACGACAAAAAGAGACGGCGATAGATCCGTAGATAGCCGCGTGGGAGCGGGACAGCGAATGTAAAACATCGTTTCCACTTAATCGCACGAGTCCCTTAGGCATCGCCGTTAAGAGAGTGTATCGATTCACGAGATCAATTTCTCACTGGTATCGCCTGCGCCACAAATCGTTCAGAAACGATCTTCGACGTTGTTGACAGTTTACGACAGTTCGCGTCACGTGGCACGATGCATCGAGTAGCTGTTCCGAAATTTCAATCGGTGTAATCGCACCTTAATCTTGTGGTGCCGGCGTTCAAACGCTCCCTCCAGCGGCGCGAACGCCTGACGGTACGCATGCGCATACCATTTCCCAGCAGCGCCGATCGTCCGGCCAATAGAACGCACCGGACAACGTCATCGGCGACCAATCGGCGACGCGAGCGGTGACGACGTATCTATTTTCGGCCGACGTGACTCATGGGATATAAGCGAGTACGTTTAGTTGGGTGTTCACAAGTTGTCGAGCCATCGTCGTGCACGGGTAAATACGCCTTTGCTCGCGCAACGATCGTCGCGATCTCTGCATTCCGCAACAGAGAGACGGCACACGCGCACCGCCCGGTCCGTCGCGTCGTCGTGAGTCATTGTTATGTTGACAGCCGTAGCGGGCGGTAGTCGGCTACCTCGTGCACGGTGGTGCTTGTTGTTACCGCGGTAAATCGTACCAAACGTCAGATACCGACGTGTCTTCTACGTCGATTCCAGATCAACCAAGTGCCGTCGGTAGTTGTGCGCGATATACCGAGTGTCGCAAAACGTGCTCGTGAAGTACAAGGAGACCCAATCACCGTTGCTGGATTTTTGCGTATAGTCGCGCGCGCGGTTATATAATCGCCGCAGCGCGGAGCAAAGTGTTTGCAAGAGTTGACGTAGACAGAAAGAGAGAGAGAGACAGAGAGAGAGAGAGAGAGAGACAGAGAGAGAGAGAGAGAGAAAGAGAAAGAAAGAGCGAAAGAAGGAAGAGGAGAAACAAGAAAGAAGGTAGATAACATCATCGCCTACACTTATGTGTAGTTTAAAATAACGTGTACATATTTAAATATATATACTGAAGAGTAGGAAGTTTTGGATATACGGAAACTGCAAGAAAGTTTTTCGTTTGTAGCTTTTCGGATCCGATAAGCGAGCCGCGGAGACCGCTCGCTCCGGAGGCGAAAAGCGACGGTCGTTAACGAGGGAGAACCTCGGTATTCCATCGAGCGACTAGTTTATCAGACCGGCGGTATCCATGGTGCGAAGCCTGACGATGGAGCCGACGTTCTACGAGGACGCGAGCGTTTATGGCGCGATGAACGGTCGCGAGAACAGCATGGGCCAGCTTAAGCGGAATCTCACGCTCGATCTGAACGGCTGCCAGAGGCAGGGACCTCAGGCGAAAAGGCCGCGATTGGGCCCGCTGACACCCGCGCTCAACAACGTCACGCCGATCCTGAGCTCGCCGGATCTCAACTTGCTGAAGCTGGCCTCGCCTGAGCTGGAGAAGTTCATCATGACACAGTCGGACAGTCTGGTCACCGGTCTCCCAACGCCTACCACCCAGATTCTGTTCCCTAAGACGGTCACCGAGGCTCAGGAATTGTACGCGCGCGGCTTCGTCGATGCGCTCAATGAGCTACATCACTCCGACAGTTCGCAGGAACCCGGTAGCATGCACGGCGCGACTTATACAACTCTGGAGCCGCCTAGTAGCGTGCAGAGCACAGAATCCACCATGAGCAATCCGAATCTGGTGCACGTGAAGGACGAGCCGCAGACGGTACCGAGCGTATCCAGCACACCGCCGATGTCGCCGATTGATATGGAGAACCAAGAGAAGATCAAGCTGGAGAGGAAACGACAGAGGAATCGCGTGGCCGCCTCCAAGTGCCGACGGCGCAAACTCGAGCGCATCTCCAGGCTCGAGGACAAGGTCAAACTGCTCAAGGGCGAGAACAGCGAGCTAAGTAACATCGTGCACAAGCTCAAAGAACACGTGTGCCGACTCAAGGAGCAGGTTATGGACCACGTGAATGCCGGCTGTCACATCGTGCCTGGCCAATACTGAAGTTTCTCAACCCCCCCATTCCCTGTCCCAGGGATGAAACTGCGAATGTTAATGCTCGCTCCTTTTTCGATCACTCTCTCGCCGGATCCGCTACCGTGCTCTTCACCATCATCATCTTGCCTTTCGTAGTTCCACCAAGGAACGGACATTGAACTTTCGCAACAGCTGTTAATCATCGTTCGGATTCGTTCTTCCGCGACTGTAATCGGGAAGAATTTCCACTATGTGGATACGGGCCTATATTTCGCATATGAAAATGTTCTCTCTCTTTATTTCAACCTCAACAAAATGTAGAATAGATTCCTTTCCTTTAATATGAGAAAGGAACTAAACAGTTCTACAAAAAGCAAAGTCTATCTCTGTCTGCTGATATTGCTAATGGAAAAGTTCGGGACACACACACACACAGAGGAAACGCTATCTTTAAAAAAAAAAGACAGAGTGTCTCCATTGCCATTCCGGAAAGAACCTTCGTAAAAGAAAGAGGAGAGGAGGAAAGAAGTCAGTCTATGGTCTACCACGTTTACAGTTTTGTCTTAATTCTTTTGTGACATGACTGGGAGGAGACACCATCGCGCGACGGAACAGCAAGCAGCAGGCGGAGCGGGAGAAGGAGGTGACGGTCAAAGTGGAGAAGGAGGAAGGAGTGCCTTCGTACAGACGTGAAACGTAAAGAATGCTTTTAGAGAAGAGTGGCGGGCGTGCGCGCGTGCGTGTTTTGCGCATGCGAGAGACTTTATACGCACGAACACGCTCGACGAATGCGTGCGTGCGTGCGTGCATGATGAGAGGAAGAAAGAGCGAGAGAGCTGTGTATGAGAGAGCGAAAGAGAGAGAGAGTGTATACGCGTGCGAGAAAGAGGGAGATCGCGCGTCGAGCGCGAGAGGGGAGAGTATCTCGCGACAGCCATTTTAGAGAACGCGCGAGTGCCGGCGGGAGATACGAATCTTTCTACCGGAGGTTGAAATACTTTTACTCTTCCCGTTGTTATCGGAGAAGTCCCAATTTTCACGATTTTCGAATGTCCCTTTGTATTTTAGAACGTAATCGACTTCTCGTTCGATCGCATTATGTAAATATCTTATCTACCTTGATGATAATTTGTAAAATAACTCCTGTCTTTCTCTCTTGGCACTGAACGACAGCGCCGATTTTCTTGCAGACTCGCGATCTCGCGTCGACTTTGCATTGTAAATTTCAATACGAGGCGTTCGCTCTTTGCGAGTGACATAAGTCAATTTTCCAAATTTCCTTGATAGGAGATGCGATCAGTTTCGAATATTAAGCGCGAGGTATATTTTACATTGTGAGGGATTTTCGAATCACGATGACACTTTATAAAAGTAAACGCCTCGTGCAAGCTGCGAGGATTGTATATTTTGTCGAATATCGATGATCTCGATCGCGTTTCTTATCGCTCTTCTCTCTACTCGGACGATATATAACTCTTGGATCAATCAGAAAGAGAGATTTTACCTTTTTTGGCGCGATTACGCTGAGAATCGTGCAACGGACTACTTGTGATAAACGCAATCAAACCGGGAGATCATGTTTGCCTTGTACCGAATGCACCTTCGAGGGACTCGAGCATTCCGCTAGTTTTGGAAACTTCTACATACTTTGGTGCATACAAATTGACAAATTAATTCTAAGGAGTACGGTGCTGTATTGTAGCTGCGCAAGAACGTGTATTAGGGCGCTATGTTATAATGACGCGTGTTCTAAACGTATCGGACGACAGAATCGATCAATGACAATTGAGCAATTCTTTAAGAATGAGTTTAGTTTATTGATCAATACGTGTTTTTTTTTAAATATTATACATGATTTTAAATTTTAACAATAATCATTTCTCTTATATGATTCTCTATTATGCAAATTGTATCTTGAACGATAAAACAAAGCATTATAACATATTTTTGAAAGGATTAAAAAGAAGAAAGTTATATATAAAATGTATATATCAAGAGACGCGACTTTTGTATCAAATATATATATATATACACACACATATATGTAAAAAATTTTAGATTGTTACAAGTGTAAAAATATGTAAAAAAATTGTTTTTGTATATTTCATAAATATTTTTAATTAATCGATTTAAAAGATTATTTAAATAAAGATACATGTAATATATCTGTATAGAGTGCATATTAAGAAAAGTATCGCCAGAAGACGCGTTCACTATAACCTCGCCCGTGCACCCGATTATTAATGTTGTCCGATTCTTCGATATTTTTCCGACGTGCCTCGTCGTTTCGCCAACAATGCATTAATTGGATTGCATCGAAATGACCTCGTTTTTGAACCCCGCTTTTGAAAGAACTAGCGCTATTAAGGCTGTACAAATAGAATAGTATCCGGGAGCAGTCGTTCGTTACTAGTCGTGCTGAACTTGTCGAAGGATCATCATCCTGAGCAAGAAGGATGGACATGATATAGGCTCGCGGTAAAGAATTCTTTAATTATATGACATGCGTTTATTAATCGACGTATAGAGGATTACGGTCGATCATGTATAAATATACGATCAGGTGATCATGCTTATCGTTGTCACTATACGAGATATTCGGAAAATTGATTTTAATTAATCCACCGATTGATTTATTCAAAATTAATCATTTTTATATACAATATATATTCGCTATAGTTATATATATTTATATATATTATATATTTATATATAACTATAAATATATATATTTCACTTGTAGTTTTTGTCGTCGATATAACTAAAAAAAAAGATGTTTTGATGAATCTATTATGAATTAAGACCGCATACAAAATCGAACAAAATTAATTTTGCCTGTATATATATATATACATGAAACTCGTCCGCGGGTGCGGCTCCTCGTCTCCTTGGAGACTATTCATATACGTCGTCGGTATCACCATGATGAGTAAAATCGGTTCCGCACGACTCTCCGGGATGCCCGGGAAAATCTTTCCCTTAGCTATTAAGCCAGCGAGTCACGTTCTCCTTGATTTTTCTGCGCGACCGCGTCGCGTAGAACTCCATTTCGTCATATGTGCATCTAGTCTTGTCCAGTATGCCCTTATAACTTGCGCGCAATGCGTATGCGCGTAGCCGCATACTAAACACACACATACATACATGCACACACGTATATACAACTCCGAAGTACACACAATGGTAGGCGGGACCGCGTTCACCACGTGTCGCAAGCTGCATCGGGAGACGTCGCGACCGAGCAACGTCGGTTTTCTGCGACATTGGTCATCATATCGGGATGAGAGACGTCCGCATTGCTCGAATATACATTTGCCATTTTCGTACATTCATACATTAGTAACATACGAGGCCGTATATTTTAATACCAAGATCGTAGGCTTAGTCCGAAGATGCTCGCAAGTTATCGTTATCGCGACGGTTCGATATTCGCAATAAAAGAAAAAAAAAAACTTCCCCTTTACGACTTTGGGAATTGTATACCGGATGTCCAGCGTAATCTCTCCGTTTGATCCTCGATAAAATTTGCAATCTGAGAAAGTTTCTTGAATAAAGATCGTAAACACGTGTTGTTTTTTAAATGTATCACGAAGCTCTCCGAAGAACTTTTCGGATCGTATAATGAGCGGAAAGATTAAAGCGAGACACCTTGTAGTAACAAGCGAGCAATAACAAAGCAATTTTACCTCGGTTTTGCGCATTATCTGTATGAGACGGATCGCGCGCGACCGCGAAGAAAAATACTCGACGAGTGGACGGGGAAAAAGCGTGATTACGCGCTATATCAGCCGGGCTGTTGCGCAATTCTTCGCAAATAATGTCCATGTAACATTGTGTATGGGAGAATTTTCGAGTTATTTGAATCGTCTATTCGCGAATCGTCAGCGCAAAATTATCTTATATATATATATATATATATATATGTGTATGTATAAGAAGATAAATATATTTGTCATGTTTCATTTTTGCAGGAAGAGATATTTTAAAATTGTGCGACGAATAAAATCGAGGTTCGATTAATGCGACGAATTGTATAAAAAGCCTTTGTCGACACACGAAACGTATTTTTCTTCGTGCGGACGTTGCGTAACATCGGCGTGAAATCTACACGGTGTGCGTGGCATATGAACGCGACGCGGACCACACCTATCGATTTATCCGCGAGTCATGTCTTCGACATAGGAGGAAATGTATTTCACCGAAAATAATTTTCGGCGATTATTTTGGAATAGACGATCGCAAGCGAACGATATACGTCTAAATATTAAAAATTCCTTCAATCAAATTAATTAAATAAAAGCGCTAACGATAAGCGAATTGACTCTCTTCGCGACGGAGATCGCGATCGATCTTTTATACTTTAAAACGTACGATTTTATCGATTCGAGAAGGAGGAGGAGGACGGCAGAAAAATTTGCGCGCTTAACTTTTGTCTGATTACCCGTCGACCTCGTTCTCCTTCTCTCTGTACTTTTTTTTTTTTTTAAACATTAACACGTAACTCGAGAATGTGAAAATGTATTTATTTCTCAAAATTAATTTTCCGGTACTCGCCACAATCACTATGTTAATCTACAGTATTTTGTGGAAAAAATTAAATTATATGATACAGAAAACAATTCTCATAGATATCATGGAGAGATAAAAATTAAAAAAAAAAAATTTTTTTTTATGTGTAATGTATAAAACAGATTTAACATTTTTGTGTATTTTATGGAAAAAAAATTGAATCATTGAATTATTACAAATACTTATACTATACATAATAATAATATTATAGTAGCGAGTAACGGTGGATTAAATGCGCGCTGTTTCCTCTCGCTTAGTTTCACGCTCTTTGTATCTATTTGTCGTAATGGCGCGCGATCGTCGCTTCGTACTCTGATCACAGAATCTCGGGCTCGTAGTACTCGATCAGATTGAACAAGTCTTGGTACGAGGATGAGATAGAGAGAAAGAGAAGCAAAACCGAAAATAAAACGCGCGCGAGTCTTCACTTTGCATATTTGTATATTTTAACGTTTTATTCTTTGCGATCGACGCAATAAAAATAAAAAAATTTTATCTTGGAGAAGTTCCAACATTTTGGCATAATTATGAATATTTTGGAATTTGGAAGATTGTAAAATATGTACAAAGAGTGTCGCGAGATGTAAGATTCAGGACTAAATTGTAAAGTTCTAAGATCAATTTTCTCGTTCGTATTGTCGCGCATTTAGCGTTAAATATGATAGAAGATCTTTGTCTGAATGAAACAGACTAGCGAGTACGAATCAGACATTTGCATACACGGCGTGCCTTTATTTCCTCGAGTTAATCGTGCGAGCGACATTTTTTCAAGGGCATGCGTCTTTCTATGAGCGAGGAAAGCGGTGGCGCAAAACGTATGAAAGTAATGAAAACCACATGTGATTTAGTCAGTAAGCGAGAAAAACCCCCATTAGAGTATAATATCGCGTGGCGAGGTGTTGTGCGGTGGTTAACGACGCCCGTGAAAGAGAGATAAGAACATACACATACACTCACACACGCGCGCGCCGTAGAGTTATGTATAACATTATACATGAGAGTATATAAATATATTGCTATAAATATATATAAAATCTAATAATATTTAAATTTCAATATATATATATATATTAAATGTGACCAAGTTGTGTGATTTTCTTTTATATCCTTGATGATAGTTTTAGCAATAATAATTCATTTCCCAATCCTTCGTAATTTTCTGTATAGCTTATAAGTATTATAAGATTAAATCCTCGAATGCACTTTAATATACAACAATATATGATTATCTATTTTTCATAAGAGAACCATTATCGCGAAAGAATATCAGATTAA